GGGCGGGGCGGGGCGGGGGCGGCGCCTCCGTTGGGGGGGAGGTCGCGGGATGCAGGGGGGAGGAAGCAGCGAGCGGGGCCCAAGCGACCTCAGCGACACCCGAGTCCTCGAGAGGGATCGTGACCGGAGGGAAGGGGTTTTTTTTCAGGATTTTTTTGGAATTTTTTACTTTTTTAAACTAAAAATCCCGCATTTAGCATCATCCTTTGGACATAAAGTTGTTTTTTAGTGTTATTGTTGTTACGTCCCCTGCTAAGCGAGGGCGTTGGGAGGCGGCACTCGGCATCTCAGGCGGTTCGGAAGTGCTTCCCGCTAAAAGAGGAAAATGAAAGAGGCGGGAGGACAGAGGGACTGGAGGACCATGCACAAGGGGCTGAGGAGACGGGGGAAAGGGAGCGGATGGGCTTTGAGCAACTGCGGAGTGCGCCGTTTAACTCCTGCCTTCTTGCACTTGAAGCAGAGCCCTAGTGTTCAGAATTTCCCTCTCTTGTATCATTTTGGGTCGTTTCCTGCTGTTTTTACTTTCTCACCCGGCCAAGGTACCTGTGGAATGTTTTCTTTTCAGCCAAACCTCAGCAGAGAAGTGTCTAAAACTCTGCTCCTGCTTTGCAGGCCACAAAGAGCAAGGCGGCGGAGGAGGGCGATGCTCCTCCGGCCAAGAGAGCCCCCATCTTCTATGGCAGCTTGGAGGAGAAGGAGAGAGAGCGTCTGGCGAAGGGAGAGTCAGGTCTGCTGGGAAAAGAAGGGGTGAAAGCTGCGATCGAGGCTGGCAACATCAACATAAGCAGCGGTGAGTGCTCAACCCTGTCACCTTCCACTTCTCACGCTTGATTTTGGCAGATTCCTATGTGTCTCTGAGTTTGGGGCTAATTTAAAATTAAGCACATGACGCTCTTGCCTAGCTGCTGTTTTTAACTCATGACTTTGTGCTTCAGGTGAGGTCTTTGATCTTGAGGACCATATGAGCGAGCGCCAGGCCGAGGTCCTCGCCGAGTTTGAGCGCCGCAAGCGAGCCCGGCAGATCAACGTTTCCACGGACGACTCGGAAGTGAAGGCGTGTTTGAGAGCCCTCGGGGAGCCCATCACGCTCTTCGGAGAAGGGCCAGCAGAAAGGAGGGAGAGGTGCGGGGCCTTCCGTGTTGTTGACAGCTCTCGGTGCCGTCTGCCCAATTCCTGAAATATTCCTTGTGCTTTGGGTGTAACGGGCACCTCTGGGCACCTTCTTTCTGACCTAACAAGAATTATGGAGGGTGGGAGAAGGGAAACGACCATCAGTTGTCGGGCTATCTGAGTGTGATCTGCTTCTTTTCAGATTACGAAATATCCTTTCAGTGGTTGGCACAGATGCCTTGAAAAAGAGTAGAAAAGATGATGACAGGTCTAAAAAATCCAAAGAAGAGGTAATATTTTCTCTTTTTTTTTTCTTTTTTTTCGGTACTGCTAGCTCTTAATGTGGCTGGAAATACGTTAAAAAAGCTTTCAGGCACCTTATTTGGGTGGTCTCTGATGCAGCAGTGCTTCTGGTTTCAGTCAGACTGTGAGGGTTGTAGCTTATTTATGTGGAGAGAATTAAGTCTGGCTTGTGCTGCAGGCCGAATTCCATGTATTGCATACGGCATACAAACCAGGAGACTGGGCCGCGGGGCTGTTATTTAGGAAGTCTTATATTTTTGACCGTAGTTATGCAAATAACAAATTCAGTGCCTTAAAACAGCTGCCTTAAGATATTAAGATTTAAGAGAAGATGCTGTGGTGGCAGTTAAGTACTAAGAGGAAGAGGAGAGAACAGATGGGCTCTATCATATTATTGATTTCTTTTGTTTTTTTCTTTAAGTATCAGCAAACCTGGTACCATGAAGGACCACGCAGCCTGAAGACAGCCAGGCTGTGGCTTGCTAATTACTCGCTCCCCAGGTAAGGAAGAAAATTAGAGCTCGTGTTCGTGGTAACTGTACCGGCATTAGTGCAGCTTTAGGAAAAGCAGAGGAAAGGGTAGGGATTTACTACTCCAGTTTTGCTTTGCACAGGGCAGTGAAGCGGCTGGAAGAAGCCCGGCTGCTCAAGGAGATTCCAGAGGCAACCAGAACGTCGCAGAGACAGGAGCTGCACAAATCCCTGCGGGTAGGTTTGACAAATAGCAGCAGTGCAGAAGGACATCGTAGTAGTTTCTGCCTGTGCCTGTCATCTTTTGCAAAGCTCTGCTTTTTCTTTCTCTTCCTGTGATATGCATAAAACACATCACCTTCCTGTTCGGTGATTCAGAGACCTGCTTTAATTGTCCCCCTGTGTGGAAAGAGGTCCCCACACTGCCTTGTCGCTCCCCTGTGAGGTTACAGATGTTTTTTTCCCAAATTTTTCATGGATTTAAGTTGACGAGGAAAGGACTGCTCACTTCTCTCATCCTGTACTGTGGGCACTGTTGTGTGAAACCAAGGGATGTGGTAATGGCAGTGATGTTTTAGAATGACTCTGGGGGCAGCTCCTTCCTTTATGTAAGTGACTTTCCAAAGGCCTCTGTCTCTTCCTCTGCATATCTACTTACTTCATCTCACTCTTTGGGCAAGGCCTTCTCTACTTTACTTATTTGCCCTTGCTCTTGCTTTTGTTTTCAGTCCTTGAATAACTTCTGCAGTCAGATCGGAGATGATCGCCCGCTGTCCTACTGCCATTTCAGTCCCAATTCCAAATTCCTCGCTACTGCCTGCTGGTAAGTGTTCCTTTAAAGCCCTTGCCTTAGAAAGAAGGGGAAACAGGACAGGAGTGAAGGAGAGAGATGTTACTGGAAGTCTTTGAAACCTGTGAGTTCAGCAGCGTGCTTTGCCCCTGCTATGAACTCTGTCTTCAGCCTATTTTAATGTTTTGCGGGGATTCCAGTGTGGGTCCGTTTGCCCTTGGGGGGTTTGTCCTGCAGCTCTGTGTTTGAGCTGTTCCCTGAGGTTCTGTTTGTGTCTGCCCTGACTCACTGTGTTTCTCGTGTTCAACAGGAGCGGGCTGTGCAAGCTTTGGTCTGTGCCTGACTGCAACCTCGTCCACACGTTACGAGGTAGAGACTCCCACCGAAACGGTTTGATTAGTTCTTTTGTCCCTCTCTGGGCTGAATTCTGTGCTGTTTTGTGACTCAGATTTTATTCCGACAAGAGCATAACTCAGACTTATGTGGTAGGGGATGTGTTGTGTAATCCAGAGGAGGTCCTGTCCTTTCTCTTTGAGATGAGAAAAGACCTAAACTTGTTGTTCTCTGTTTCTGAGTGATGCTTTTCAGTTTGGTTTATTTCAAAATCTGGTTTAGTTGTTTTAAATCAAGTACTTACATGCCTGGCCACCTCACTTGAGAACAACAGTGAATTTCCTTGCACAGTGGTCAGAACTTTGACTAAGTAGAAGTATGAAGGGAAAATCTCTTGATTCATTCATGTAATTTTTCATCTCTGTTTAAAGAACTACAAGCTTTGACTTTTGGCAATATTACTGGGTGCTTCTGAATTGCAGTTTAGCCCTTTGCACTATGGATGTGCTGCGGAAGTGCTGCTTTTCTGATACTCTTTTTTTGTGATGAATTGACTAAGATCTCCTCGAAAATGCTAATTTTTTACTCTTTCTTTTGAGGACATAACACCAACGTTGGAGCAATAGTCTTCCACCCCAAAGCCACCATCTCCGTAGACAAGAAAGACGTTAACTTGGCCTCCTGTGCGGCCGATGGTTCTGTCAAACTTTGGAGCCTTGAAAGGTCAGGCTGATACTGGCACATGCTGCTGCAACACTGTTGCTTGTGGGACTTATTTTAGACATCAGATGCTTGTCATCCTCCTGCAAATGCAACGTCTTGTAGCTATATCCGAGCAGTTTCTCATCCTGTAATAAAAGGAATCGCTCTGTGTTGCTGCATGGGGCTAGCTGGTTTTTGAAGACAGGCAGTGCTTACCTACAGCCTGAGAAGAACACCGTAGCGTAGATACCAGCTCTAGCACCTGCACGTTTGAAAAGCAGAGCCCTGCAATGCACCTGGGACACTCTGAGATGCTTTGTGTCCAATTGTGAGCCCAGATGTGTTGTTTTGACAGTGTTTGGCCTGGGAGAAGCAGACCTGTGCTAAGAGACCAGTGCCTATCGCTCTCCTGTGACTAAGTCTCCTTAATTGGCCAGCTGAAGCTCTAGATGCTGCTCAGATTTTCTACTAAAGCTGCCAAGCTGCTGCCTGTCCTGGGTACAGTCTTGAGGACAGCAGGGTTTGCTGCAGCTGGGGATGTGCCCCCTCTGCGGGGTGCGTTTTGTTTCTGCTGTTAAACAAAGTGGTGCCTGCGGTTCCTGGCACAGGTCAGGGCACCTTCCTGCAGGGCGCTGCCCGCAGTGGCGATGTCGTTGCACGAAGCTCGCAGTCAGGTGCTGATGGTGTCACTGGGCTGTTGATGTTCAGGAGGCCTGAAAATATCAAGGGCCTTGTTAATTCTGAACGTGATTATCCCAGGAGAGCTTTATAACTGAGGTCAAAAGTATGGATAAATGAGCTTCATGTACAGTGTTAGCTATGTGGACAAAAGACAGTATTAGCTACCCTTCCTCATCAAAAATTTTGGCTATTTACCAAATACCAAATTATTACCAAATTAAATACCCCAAAAATTGATATTTAAGTTATCAGCTGTTGCTGAGACTGCAAAAGCCTGGTTAGCACCAGCCATCATCAGATGACTTGGTTTCTGTTTTTCAGCGATGAGCCTGTAGCAGATATCGAAGGTCACACCATGAGAGTGGCACGTGTGATGTGGCACCCATCTGGAAGGTTCCTGGGCACTACTTGGTATGGAGATTGGGTTATTTGCTTTAAGACATTACAATTAGCTCTCTGGCTAGCAAACTGATGGGCATCACTGCCTGTCTGAAAGGGAGTCCAACATGGGCAACAGTTTAACCTGGTCTGGGCCATTGCAATGTTTGTTTTTGTTGTTGTTGTGTTTGTTGTTGTCTTTGGGTTTCCTGTGTTTTTTCCCTGTGGACAGGCTTGTTCCTGGCCACGTCTTCCTACATAGCACACCAAGTTTTGGACCAGCCTGTGTAAATATGCTGACAGCTATTACATGTGTGCCCAGTTCAGACAGGGTTGTAAGGCTAGATTGGGGATCCAGAAAAATGCATTTGGTTGGATAAATGCTTTGTTTTTGCAGCTATGATCACTCCTGGCGCCTGTGGGACTTGGAAGCTCAGGAAGAGATCCTGCATCAGGAGGGACACAGCAAAGGTGTCTATGATATTGCCTTTCACACGGATGGGTCTCTCGCTGGGACTGGGTAAGTCCGTTCTGTCTGAAGGCCGCACAGGAGATTACCAGGGTTTGTTGTGGGCTGACTCGACTGCCCCAGTGATTCTGGTGCGAGGTCGAGCACATTCTGAGAGTTGCTGGAGAGGGTGATGAGTGGGTTCTTTTCTCCCCAGCGGACTGGATGCTTTTGGTCGCATATGGGACTTGCGCACAGGACGCTGCATCATGTTTCTAGAAGGCCACCTGAAGGAGATCTATGGTGTTAACTTCTCCCCAAACGGGTAAGAAAGGAGTTGCGTGGTTTATGTGGAAACTCTGAATACAAACCCCATCTTCCATGACTATGGCCTTTCTTGACTCTTTTGGCAGATACCATGTTGCAACTGGCAGTGGTGACAATACTTGCAAAGTGTGGGACCTCCGTCAGAGGAAGTGCATCTACACCATTCCTGCCCATCAGAACCTGGTGACGGGGGTGAAGTTTGAACGTAAGCATCTCCTGCCCCTTGTTCCTGTGCTCCTTATCGCTGCCTTTCCCAAGCTGAGATGGCAGGAACTGGGCAGTACCTGTGATAACCTATAGCATTGATACTCATGGGGACAACTCAAGCACATCTTCGTCGAGAGAGAATTTGTTCTTGCTTAATGATAGAGGATTTTCCACTTTTTTTATTTGTAAATCTTACTTCTCCTTTTTTCTCATCCTCAATTGCAGCCAATCATGGAAACTTCCTGCTCACAGGAGCTTACGATAACACAGCAAAGATCTGGACTCACCCTGGCTGGTCTCCTTTGAAAACACTGGCTGGTCACGAGGGGAAGGTCATGGGCCTGGATATCTCCCTCGATGGCCAGCTGATAGCGACGTGTTCCTATGACAGAACCTTCAAGCTGTGGACAGCGGAGTAGCTCAGAGTTGCTGATGAGCTGGAACTGAGATGTTAACGGCTTTGAACTTGGACATTCTTACATTTGGGCTTTTTTATATTAAAGGAAAAAAAAGGAATCTGCTGTTGCAGGTGCATTATGGTGGTAGTCACTGCCTCATCTTAGTTTCCCAGTTGAAGTGGTTTGGAAATGTGTTTTCCAGGGCTTGGGGGGAATCAAAGTCTGGATGAGCATCTCATGCTTTTTAGAACCCTTTTACCCTCTACACACTGTTTTTCTGTTGTAATTTGGAGATGAATCATCTACTCCCGTGCATCAGCTTGGCTGCATCAACATATCTCCAAGCCAGCTGGTTTTTAAATGCCTGTAGGTAGCCGTGTAACTTCAAGTACAGCATGTTGTATAGGCTCTGGTAACATCCTCCTTGCCTGCCCGGGAGCCTTGGGTAGGAGCCTGTGGCTGCAAACTTGATACTGGCTGTCAGTTATCAGAAAATGGTGCCCTCCTCCTCCATCTGTAAATTTCTCCTACATCTGTAAAGTTGGTCTCTGAATGTGGAAGTCTGTATCCCCTTTGTGTTTACTTACAGTAGAGTTTAAAGGCCTTTTTTTTTTTTCAATTTTCCCTGCAGCATCACAGCCTCTCTCATACCCTCATTGAGCTGTCTCAAGAATTAGGTGTTTCAAATTCATGCAAGTATCAACTGATGACATTGCTGTGTCTCACCTGAGTTAATGCAGAGCAGCCTATTTCACTGTAGGATTTTCTTGTTCTAGTTTGCACTGTGAGGAGCTTTTGTTTAAACTTTAAATTGAAGTTTTGAAAAATGTGATGTTTTGGAAAATCAAAATGTGTTTTGAATACATACCCTAGCTTCCTGGTTTGAGTAAGGGACAGAGCTATTACAGGTACTTCACAATAGCCACACTTTAATTTCATTATCTGCTGTATCTACCCGCCTGCGTGCTGAGAAGCCAGACCCCCACTAACTGGAGCCTGAGAGCTGCTGTTTCACTGGCCTGAGGCAGGAGGGGCGTTTTGGCTCTCCGGAGGCTCCTCTCGCAGTCTCATGAGTCCCTCTGTCATCCCCGTGTTGCTGAGGCTGTTCCCAAAACGTACGGCCGTGCACAGGGCAGCGAGGCCTGCGCACGCAGGGAATGGCCTGCTAGGCAGAGTAGGTGGCTTAGGGCACTTGTGAGCGGGTTCCAGTCAGGCCCGCACTGGCCAACCAGCCCCCCAGCAGCTCCCTGTGCTGTCCTGCTGACTCAGAAGATGAAATTTTTGATGCTAATGAATTTTCTCCCACCTGCTCTGGGTGCAGGTCCTCGTGTTTCACCTGGGGTATAAATAGCTGCTCCCCCACCTGCTCCAAGGGTGTTTTCTCCTCCCCCCAAAATAGCGCTTTTGTTAGAGGGGGACAGAAGGGCCCTGATCAGGGCTTGTCTTAGGGAACCGCTGTTGGGGCAGCACATCTATGTCCTTCCCAATATGACATCACGTGCAGCTATGCTGTTTTGTAAATAAAACACACACGACTGGTTCAAAAGTGAAAATTGGCCTCAAAGGCTTTGTTTCTAAACAGTTCTAGTTGCTTTCCAGGTACTACAAAATGAAATGAATAAATCCCTGATGCTCAGCCCTGTCGCGGCTCTGCGCGTGCCGAAGCTGCTCCAAGTGGGCCAGTCGGGGTCAGCAAGGTCACCACGCTCAGAACGCTGCCGCCTCCTCCAGCTCCAGGTCGCCGCGGCCGCTCAGCTGCAGCAAGCGGATTCCCCCGTGGAAACTGCGGCTGCGGAGGGAGCGGGGACGGCGCTCAGGGCGGGCGGCTCTGGAGCTCGTGCAGAGCCCTTCCCCACGAGCATTTTTTCCCCCCTGTGAATTGCTTACCGTTTGGGAAAATACTTCTCAAGGGCAATGTTATGCTCAACACGTGTTTTTTGAGAATAATCCAAGAGGGAAACAGAAATCAAATTTCCAGAGCCATGTAAGCCCTTCTTCATGGCTATTAATTTCTTCCTTGTTTCCCTTTAGTTTAGGGAGGATCTTCATCACCTCCAAATGTCCTCTTGGAGAGGAACACAGCTGTTCTGGGACAGATCTCCTCCGTCCCAACCCTGTGGCTGCATTCAAGTAAAACTCAGAGGCTACAGTCTCAGTCCCTGGGTGGGTACCGAGACCAAGACAAGTGGCTGCAGCACCCACAGTGACACCCTCTCAGCGAGCAGCTCCCTCTCTTACCTCTGCTCTCTTGGTCCCAGATCTTCACTTTGCAGTCGTACGAGGCCGTGGCAATGACAGGGGCCGCAGCCAGGCCTCGGGGAAGGAAGACACACGAGGCTACGGTTTGGAGATGCCCTCTGTACTCGCGCACTTGGCTCCTTGTCTGCCTCAGGTCCCACAGCTGCAAGGCAAGGGCAGCAGTTGGAGTCCAGGTCACTTCTAGACTCCATCACTGTCACTTAACGATATGGAGCTGCTTTACAAAGAAAACAAGTTTTTTGTTTGTTTGTTTAAAGTGCACCCTGAGCCTTCCAGGCTTTTGGCAAGAACCTCACAATCCCGGACACTGTCGTGCCTGTGCTTTAATAAGGAGGAACATCTGCTATTACAGAAGACTCGGGAAAGGGAGGGATGGGAAGAAATGTAGGAGCTCAAGCAGCAACCTTGGGCCCAACTGGAGATACCAGCGTGAAGACAATCCCCATGAGCATCTCTCTGGGCACTGATCTGTTGCATGCCATGAAAATCAGAGAAGAGCAGAAAAAGCAGAAGAGGAGAAAAAGCGGGAATTGCTGCCCGGCAAACTCACGGTTGCTTCACAGCCCTCCCCGGTGAAGCCGCTGCTGCCGCTGACGCAGTAGCGCCCGTCCTGGCTCACGTCACAGCACGTCTGAATGTGCCGCTTGCCCGGGAACGTGTGTGCCACCTGCAGCTCCCGGCTATCCCAGATCCTGGAAGTGCAAGAGCAGGGAGGAAGGGCTCTGACACATCACTCCAACAACAGGCACGTTCCCATTTCCTAGATCATGGCCACACTCTATCATGGCCACACTCTTCCTCTGTGATTTGTTGGCATATTCCCCTGCTAGAACTCCTTCTTCCGTGGCCACTGCTGAGATTTACCTGATCGTTTTATCCTCTGACGCCTGGACGACGTAAGGCTCCCCAGGAACCCAGCACAGATGTGTTACCTGCAGAGGGAAGGGATGATTGCCCAGGCTGACGGGTGCTTGCCACGCAGAACCACAGAGCTCCCCTGTCCTTGCTCTCCTGGTGCTGTGTACTGAGCAGGAAACACCAGATTGTTTTTTCTGTTTCCCATCAGTGCTGCTCCTTTACTGGGGCCTACAGGCTCTGTCCCACATGGTTAGTGGGGTTATGAGCGGGTAAGGAGACACGAACACTGAACTAGACCCAGCACATGGAAACCTGAGCACTTGAAGACACTCTAAACTTCACTGCTGGGCAGATGTAAAAGGGGACACAAGATCCTACGCTTGCTTCCTAAATGGCTCAGCAAAGGGCATTAATAAATTGCCATATGTGCCTTGGTATCTTTGTGCTAGTGCAGGTTTTATTTTTCCTGGAGAAGAGGATAAGCAGCCTCAAGTTCACATTTCCACAAGGCATCCATGCAACAGATCCTGGGCTTAGTGTAGTGCCAAGCTCAGCGCAAATCCTCTTTGCGCAGGTTTATGTGCAAAACGACCGAGGAGGCAGAGTTGCCTTTATGGCTGAAGGGGATGAGCGGCTCCTTACCAGATTCCTGGAGATACCAGCTCTGCCCAGGCGCTTTCCAGTCTCTACGTCCCACTTGCAAACAGTGTTGTCTCGTGAACCTGTGCACAGGCACAAGGCATCTGCAACCCCAAGTTAATGTCCGAAAATTGCACGGAAAAATTAGAAAGAAATTACCATTTGCGGGATAGGAGTCAGTTACTCCTCACCTGGGCTCACGGCTAGTCCAGTAACGACCAGGTCATGTCCTGGGAAGTGCTGCCTGGGTCCTGAAGTCCTGTGAAACTCCCACATCATCACAGTCCTGTCACGGGATGCGCTGAAGACTCTGTTTGAGTCAGGGGCACAGGTGACCTGCCCAGGACGAGGCGGGAGATGTAGCTCAGGCTTTGTGATGGAGCCAGTGGCACACGGAGAAGAAAAAGCAGTCCTGCTGCCAGGCCAAAGCTCCAGACATGCAGAAATGTGACCAGAGAGCCTGACCTTCAAAAGGCACTTTTGATTTTAACTTGCGAGTCAGGAACAGTAAGGTTGGAATAACAATGTTGAATTGGCCAGACCAGTTCTTTCTTGCCCTGAGCTCCATTTTCTCTTGAGGTAGTGAATGAACTTCTAAGCCCCACCACATTTCTCTAACGGGGATGAGCCAAAGGATTAATTCCCAAAGGAAGGGATTACTTCAAGACCACAACTCAGCTGCATGTTGTCCACGACCCTTAAACTCTCCTCCTGCTGCCTCCCGTATGGACACGAATCCCAGCAGCGCAGGTCGTGGTTCTGAAACCAGCCCGACCAGGCCTGCAGTGAGCAGGGACAGTTTCTGATCACCTCCTCTGTGACCAGGGCCGCAGGTGACAGCGGGATTAACCTACTTTCCCCAGAGTGAGTGCAGAAACAGACGGAGCTCCCAGATCCCGGACGCCAGGAGCTCAGGAACACCCGCTGGGCAGCTGTGCAGGCTGCCGGTGGGCTCTTGGCAGACGCTCACTCCGACGGGCCAACTTATTTTTTAAACAGAACCTTTAATTGTTCGGCCTCTCTGGAGATTTTATATTAAGGGAAGAAAGTGGTGGTTGAGAGAGGTATTTTGATCTGTATTGCCTTTGCAAGTAAGCAAGATGGCAGCAAAGTCCCACTTCTGGAGCACTATGAAGTGAGAACTTCACTCCTCTCACCCCAGTTAATGTCGTGCTCAAAAGTTCTCCTCTCTCTCAGCATTTTCCTGGGTAATAAGGGTTTCTTTAGAACTTCTGTCTTGTCTCTTTTTCTGTTTTCTCCTACATATTTTCATAATCAAACAGCCATTGACGAACAATATATCTGCAGGCTTAACGGTTTGTAACCTCATATCCAATCCCCTCCTGTTTACTTAGGT